TCCCTCAAATCCCCCCCAAATCCCTCAAATTCCCCCCAAATCCCCCAAATCCCCCAAGTCCTCCATCCTAAAACCATCTCAACCCCCAAATTCTTCCCAAATCCCCCAAACCTCCCAAATTCTCCCATCCCAAAACCGGCTCTGACCCCAAATCCACCCCAAAATCCTGAAATCCTTCAAATCCCCCAAATCCTCCAAATTCTCCATCCCAAAACCATCTCTGACCCCAAATCCCCCAAATTCCTCAAATCCCCAAATCCCCCGAACCCCCGAATCCCCCAAATTCTGCAAACCACCCCAAATCCTCCAAACCTCCCATCCCAAAACCGGCTCTGACCCCAAATCATCTCCAGATCCCTCAAATCCCCCAAATCCCCAAAGTCCTCAATCCTAAAACCATCTCGAACCCCAAATTCTTCCCCAATCCTTCAAATCCCCCAAATCCCCCAAACCTCCCCAACTTCTCCCATCCCAAAACCGGCTCAAACCCCAAATCATCTCCAAAATTCCCAAATCCTGAAACCCCAAATCCACCCCAAAATCCTCAAATCCTTCAAATCCCCCAAATCCCCCAAATCTCCCAAGTCCTCCATCCCAAAACCATCTCCAAATCCCCCAAATCATCTCCAGATCCCTCAAATCCCCAAAGTCCTCAATCCTAAAACCATCTCAAACCCCAAATTCTCTCCAAATCCCCCAAATCCTCCAAGTCCTCCATCCCAAAACCATCTCAAACCCCAAATCCACCCCAAAATTCCCAAATCCCCCCAAATCCTCCAAATCCTCCATCCCAAAACCGGCTCGAACCTCAAATCATCTCCAGATCCCTCAATTCCCCCAAATCCCCCAAATGCCCCAAATCCTCCATCCCAAAACCGTCTCTGACCCCAAATCATCTCCAGATCCCTCAAATCCCCCAAATCCCCAAATCCTCAATCCTAAAACCATCTCAAACCCCAAATCCACCCCAAAATCCCCAAACCCCAAATCCCCCCAAATCCTCCAAATCCTCCATCCCAAAACCGTCTCTGACCCCAAATCATCTCCAGATCCCTCAAATCCCCCAAATCCCCAAAGTCCTCCACCCTAAAACCATCTTGAACCCCAAATTCTTCCCCAATCCTTCAAATCCCCCAAACATCCCCAACTTCTCCCATCCCAAAACCGTCTCTGACCCCAAATCATCTCCAGATCCCTCAAATCCCCAAAGTCCTCCATCCCAAAACCATCTTGAACCCCAAATTCTTCCCAAATCCCCAAAGTCCTCCATCCTAAAACCGTCTCTGACCCCAAATCCACCCCAAAATTCCCAAATCCCCCCAAATCCCCAAAGTCCTCCATCCCAAAACCGTCTCTGACCCCAAATCATCTCCAGATCCCCCAAATCCCCAAAGTCCTCCATCCCAAAACCATCTTGAACCCCAAATCCCCCAAATCCCCCAAATCCTCCATCCTAAAACCGTCTCTGACCCCAAATCCACCCCAAAATTCCCAAATCCCCCCAAATCCTCCAAATCCTCCATCCCAAAACCGTCTCTGACCCCAAATCATCTCCAGATCCCTCAAATCCCCAAAGTCCTCCATCCCAAAACCATCTTGAACCCCAAATCCCCCCAAATCCCCAAAGTCCTCCATCCCAAAACCGTCTCTGACCCCAAACTGTCCCCGCACCCCAGTTCCCCCCTGACCCCGTTGTCCTCCCCCAGCTCCTCGCTGCCCCCCGTCCCCGAGGAGGTCCCGGCTCACCTGGGCCAGATCCAGCCCGAGCTCTACGACGCCGCCGACGGCCGCGGTGGCCCCGGCGCCGCCGGAGGTGACCCCGGCGACCCCTCCGGCCGCTCCGGCCCCTCCTGCGGCCGCCTCAGCGTCTCCCTGCGCTACTCCTACGGCTCCCAGCAGCTCCTGGTGCGCGTCCTCCGCGCCCGCGACCTCCCGGCCAAGGACTCCAACGGCTTCTCCGACCCCTACGTGAAGATCTACCTGCTGCCCGACCGCAAGAAGAAGTTCCAGACCAAGGTCCTGCGCCGGACGCTGAACCCCGAGTGGGACGAGACCTTCAGCTTCGGGGTGCCCTTCGCCGAGCTGCCGGCGCGGCGGCTGCACTTCAGCGTCTACGACTTCGACCGCTTCTCCAGGCACGACCTGATCGGGCAGGTGGTGCTGGACAATCTGCTGGAGGCGGCCGAGGCCAGGCCGGAGGTGCCCATCTGGAGGGACATCCAGGAGGGGACGGGGGTGAGTGGATGTTGAAGTCTCGAAAAGGTCCTAAAAGAACCCAAAACTCCACAAAAAAGGGTCATGAGAAGGGACGGGTGGTGCTGGAGAACCTTCTAGAGATGTTCACTGGAGGCGCCACCTGAGGGATGTCCAGGAGGGGACGGGGGTGAGTGGACATTGAAGTCAGGGAACCTCAAAAAGGTCCTAAAAGACCCCAAAACACCATAAAAAATGGGTAAAAGGGTCACAGGAGCAGAGCAGGTGGTGCTGGAGAACCTTCTAGAGATGTTCACCTGAGGGACATCCAGGAGGGGACGGGGGTGAGTGGATGTTGAAGTCTCGGAAAGGTCCTAGAAGACCCCAAAACACCATAAAAAGTGGGTAAAAGAGTCACGGAACAGAGCAGGTGGTGCTGGAGAACCTTCTAGAGATGTTCACTGGAGGTGCCACCTGAGGGATGGCCAGGAGGGGACAGGAGTGAGTGGATTTTGAAGTCGGGGAACCTCAAAAAGGTCCTAAAAGACCCCAAAACACCATAAAAAGTGGGTAAAAGAGTCACGGAACGGAGCAGGTGGTGCTGGAGAACCTTCTAGAGATGTTCACTGGAGGGGCCACCTGAGGGATGGCCAGGAGGGGATGGGGGTGAGTGGACATTGAAGTCAGGGAACCTCAAAAAGGTCCTAAAAGACCCCAAAACACCATAAAAAGTGGGTAAAAGAGTCACGGAACGGAGCAGGTGGTGCTGGAGAACCTTCTAGAGATGTTCACCTGAGGGACATCCAGGAGGGGACGGGGGTGAGTGGATGTTGAAGTCTCGGAAAGGTCCTAGAAGACCCCAAAACACCATAAAAAGTGGGTAAAAGAGTCACGGAACGGAGCAGGTGGTGCTGGAGAACCTTCTAGAGATGTTCACTGGAGGTGCCACCTGAGGGATGGCCAGGAGGGGATGGGGGTGAGTGGACATTGAAGTCGGGGAACCTCAAAAAGATCCTAAAAGAACACAGAACTCCACAAAAAACGGTCACAGGATAGGGGAGGTCAGGTGGTACTGGACAACCTTCTAGAGATGTTCACCTGAGGGACATCCAGCACGGGACGGGGGTGAGTGGACTCTGGACTCAGGGAACCTCAAAAAGATCCTAAAAGAACACAAAACTCCACAAAAAACGGTCACAGGATAGGGGAGGACAGGTGGTGCTGGAGAACCTTCTAGAGATGTTCACCTGAGGGACATCCAGCACGGGACGGGGGTGAGTGGACTCTGGACTCAGGGAACCTCAAAAAGGTCCTAAAAGACCCCAAAACTCCTCAGAAAAGGGTCAGGGGACAGGTGAGGGCGCAGGTGCTGCTGGAGGAGCTGCCTGAGGTCCCACCTGGAGGAGCTTTGGCCCCAGGTTGTGACCCCGCGGTGACCCTGTGTCACCTGTCACCCTCACCTGTCCTTGTTCCTCCTCACCTGTGTTCTCCTGTCTGTGTGCTCTCACCTTTCTCTACCTGTCCCACCTGTCCCTGTCCCACCTGTCCTCACCTGTCCCTACCTGTCCTCACCTGTCCCTACCTGTCCCTGTCCTCACCTGTCCTTGTTCCTCCTCACCTGTGTTCTCCTATCTGTGTGCTCTCACCTGTCTCTACCTGTGCTCACCTGTCCCTGTCCCACCTGTCCATGTCCCTGTCCCTCACCTGTCTCTGTCCTCACCTGTCCTTGTCCCTCACCTGTCCCACCTGTCCCCTCACCTGTCCCCACCTGTCCTTGTTCCTCACCTGTTCCTGTCCCTGTCTCTGTCTCTCACCTGTCTCTCACCTGTCCCTCACCTGTGCTCACCTGTCCCACCTGTCCCCTCCCCTGTCCCTTCACCTGTCCCCACCTGTCCTTGTTCCTCACCTGTCCCTGTCTCTCACCTGTCCCTCACCTGTGCTCACCTGTCCCTCTGTCCCCACCTGTCCCACCTGTCCCCTCCCCTGTCCCCTCACCTGTCCCACCTGTCCCCACCTGTCCTTGTTCCTCACCTGTCCCTGTCCCCTCCCCTG